TTGCTCTTACGATTTATTTTCCTGAAACAGAACGACATCTTTTTTCTTCTCTCAGTCTTTTTTCTCCACCCGTGAACCTCCTCTCCGCCCCCCCCCCATCCGCCCTGTTTCCATTAAGCGGACGCGACTGCTTTCCTTTTCCCCTCCTCCGGTTCCCTTTCGGTCTCTTCCTCTCTGTCTCTGTCTCTCTCCCTCTCCCTCTTTTTCTCTTCAAGTCGCACCCGCCTTGTAATCAGCAACAAAAGCTGACATAAATCACGGGCGGATTGACAAGAGCTGACAAATAACTGATTGATTGCGGTCGAGGAACATTGACAATTGATGGAGGGGTGGAGATGCCCGAAGGGGGGGGAGGGAGGGGGACAGGCAGAAGAAGGGGGGGAGCGGAATGTGTAACATAGGAAACATGTGATCCCCGCGCTTCCCCCAATCTGGGCTCCCCAGCCTGTCACATGGATAGGATAAGGGAGGGGAGTTGGAGTGGGCAAGGCCAGCAGAAGCCGCCGTCGCCGCAGCATCAGCCATAGCTCCTGGTTTCTCTGGCGCGGAGCCTCGAGAAATCACAGGCGGGCGGGTCGTCTTCCTACAGCACCCTACTCGCACAGTCCAGTATTTTTCCTTTTATCAGGGGCCTCGGCGAGTTCGGCTAGGTCAGGAGAAGAGAGTCTTTGCCCCTGATCTTTCCTGGAGCTAACTGACAGAGCCTTAGGATTCACAAACGTATTCTTTCCTAAGGACCCTCATCCTACTCTTCACGCCCCTATCCCGCCCCAGGCCCTACTCTCGGTTCCAGTTTGTTTTCGAGCAAGAAAAAGGGGAAGAGGGAAGAAAACGAGGGAGGCGTCCGACTGCAAACGGAAAATAAACCCCATCCCGTCCTCCCAGCAAAAACAAGGGAGGGGATGGGGAGGGGGAGCTGGAAGGAGGGATCTGCCCATTAAAACCAGTGCGGAGAGTCCCGGCGGCGGCGGCGGCGGCGCGAGGCGCGTCACATCCCTTTGACCCTCCAATCACCTCGGGCTCCCATTTGATTGGAAGGCGGCAAAGGCTTTAATCTCCCCCTAGATGCAGCTGCTTTTGAAGTGAGTTTCCTCGCCAGAGCCCCGTCTGGACGGGCAGCGGCTCACATCGTACCCAAGCGCAGCACTGGGCGGCGGGTCGGAGAGGAGCGCAGCGCCGGGGAGCAGCCAGTGGCTACACGGATAGCTCAGCGGCCCCACAAAAACAGCAGCGGCAGCGCCTCCTCCCCAGCCACGGCTCTTCTCCGAGGCCCCCCAGGATTATTCGTTTCTTGCCGGAGGCGCCGAGAAGGCGCACTGGACGCCTGTGGCGGCCGCTCCACCTCCTTCTCTGCCTCCTCCTCCCGCGTCTCCTCCTCCTGCTCTCCGGGCGAGCGCGCAGCCCCGAGCCCGCCCCGCGCCTCCCGGAGCCCTCCCCCCGCTGCTCCCATGCGCGCGGGTGGGTCATGAGCACAGCGCCCTCGCTTTCTGCCCTGAGAAGTAGTAAGCACAGCGGCGGCGGCGGCGGCGGCAGCGGTGGCGGAGGCGGTGCAGACCCCGCCTGGACCAGCGCGCTCTCTGGAAATATATCTGGCCCCGGCCCCGGCCCCGGCTCGTCCTCGGCCGGTAACACCAAACCTTTCCTTCACGCCGTGCCCCCCTCGGACCCTTTACGCCAGGCGAATCGCCTGCCTATCAAAGTGCTAAAGATGTTGACGGCACGGACGGGGCACATCTTACACCCAGAGTACCTGCAGCCTCTGCCCTCCACTCCTGTCAGTCCCATCGAGGTAAGTCCCCCCCCTTCTCCTCGTCCCCGTCTTTATCCTCTCTTCCTCGAGATCATTCCATGAACCCATACTCGAGCCACTGGCCGGCGGGGTTTCGTTCTCCTTGGAATGGGTATGGGGGGGGAGTGTCCAGGGTGATTCAGCTCCCATGGGGGACAGAGCTTCCGCAGCTGGAAACTAGGTCGGAGAAGGGGAGTGGGGCGCGGAAGTCAAGACTGGAGAGGTTTAAATGGACAGGGACTTGGAGGCCAACTTATTCCCCCTATCCCCGTTTTCGCCGTCCTCCCACCGCCACCTCTGGTTTTCCGGACCTTGGGCTGGAGAGAGGATGGGAGGTCCGATAGATTCAGTAAACACTAAGCGCCGAACAGAGGCTGATAATTGTAAATAGCCTCCGAGGCGCAGCCAGCCCGAAACCTCCCCTATACTGCGCCGCCCCCCATAAGAGAGTCTTGAGTCGCTGGTCGGGTACAGCCATATGCAGAAAACCACATTTTGAGTTTTTGCAAATCCAATTAGCATCACCCCCAGAATTTAAAAAAAAAAAAAAAAGGAAAGGGGGGAGCGACTATGTTGAGTGTAGGTGATGGCCGCACCTTTTCCCAGGGTGTTAGTTTCTTGGGATGGGGGTGGGGGGGAGAGGCGGTCTCTTCTTGCCCCTTCTGGGTAACCCCGAGGGGGCTCCGCGTGTCCCTGGAGGACTGAGGGCCTCAGGCTGGGGCCCAGGAATGGCTATGTAAGAACTAAGAATCCTAAAGGTCTCCTCTCTGTCTTTCTGTTTCCCTTCTCGTCTGACTCCGCAGCTCGATGCAAAGAAGAGCCCACTGGCGCTATTGGCCCAAACGTGCTCCCAGATCGGAAAGCCTGACCCATCGCCCTCCTCCAAATTGTCTTCGGTGGCCTCCAACGGGGGCGGTGCCGGGGGTGGCGGTGGCGGCGGTGCCGGGAGCGACAAGGACACCAAATCGGGCCCCCTAAAACTAAGCGACATTGGGGTCGAGGACAAGTCGAGCTTTAAGCCCTACTCCAAACCTGGCGCGGATAAGAAGGAGCCGGGAGGCGGTGGCGGCGGCGGCGGTGGAGGCGGGGGCGGCGGGGGCGGGGGCGGTGGCAGTGGCGGGGTCTCGGCAGAGAAGTCGGGATTCCGAGTACCGAGCGCCACCTGCCAGCCATTCACGCCCAGGACAGGCAGCCCGAGCTCCAGCGCCTCTGCCTGTTCGCCTGGAGGGATGTTACCCTCTTCGGGAGGGGGCCCCGAGGGCAAGGACGACAAGAAGGACCCGGAAGGCGCCAGTGGCAGTGGCAAAGGGTCTGGCGGCTCCTCAGGCGACGGAGGCCCAGGCGGCCTGGCTCACGGCCGGATTAGCTGTGGGGGGATTAACGTGGACGTAAACCAACACTCTGACGGGGGTCCCGGGAGCAAGTCACTGGGCTCAGACTGCGGCAGCTCTGGCTCCAGTTCAGGTTCCGGCAGTGCCCCAACCTCCTCTTCGGTTCTGGGTTCCGGGTTGGTGGCCCCAGTATCCCCATATAAACCGGGCCAGACGGTCTTCCCCCTGCCTCCCGCGGGCATGACTTATCCTGGCAGTTTAGCCGGGGCCTACGCCGGCTACCCTCCCCAGTTCCTCCCACATGGGGTGGCCCTGGATCCCACCAAGCCAGGGAGCCTAGTGGGAGCGCAGCTGGCCGCCGCCGCTGCTGGCTCCCTGGGATGCAGCAAACCGGCTGGCTCTAGCCCCTTGGCAGGGGCGTCTCCTCCTTCCGTGATGACTGCGAGTTTGTGCCGGGACCCCTACTGCCTCAGCTACCACTGCGCCAGCCATCTCGCCGGGGCAGCTGCAGCTAGTGCCTCCTGCGCCCACGACCCCGCAGCGGCCGCCGCAGCTCTCAAATCCGGCTACCCATTGGTGTACCCTACGCACCCTCTCCACGGCGTCCACTCGTCGCTGACTGCCGCGGCTGCGGCGGGGGCCACTCCGCCCTCGTTGGCTGGCCACCCTCTTTACCCTTATGGCTTCATGCTCCCTAACGACCCGCTGCCCCACATCTGCAACTGGGTGTCGGCAAATGGGCCCTGCGACAAACGGTTCGCCACGTCGGAGGAGCTGCTGAGTCACTTGCGGACGCACACGGCCTTCCCCGGGACGGACAAACTGCTGTCCGGCTACCCCAGCTCCTCCTCCCTGGCCAGCGCAGCTGCTGCAGCAATGGCTTGCCATATGCACATTCCCACCTCGGGAGCTCCGGGAAGCCCCGGGACCCTGGCTCTGCGCAGCCCCCACCATGCGCTGGGACTGAGTAGCCGCTACCACCCCTACTCCAAGAGCCCCCTCCCTACTCCCGGCGCACCAGTGCCGGTGCCGGCTGCCACCGGACCCTACTACTCCCCTTACGCCCTCTACGGACAGAGACTTACCACAGCTTCGGCGCTGGGCTATCAGTGAGGGGGGTGGGGAAGGGCGGGGAGGGAAGGAGGTTGGGGTGGGGTGGACAAGGGGTGGGTTTTTTGGGGGAGGGGAGAAAGCAGGGAAAGGCGGGGATTTGGGGGAGGGATGGGATGGGGGCCCGGAGGCATACAGATTACCCAGCAGCGTGGGGAAGATGGGGCAAGAGAGGAAAAAAAAATATGCAGTATATCTATCTAATCCAGCAACAGCAAGGACAGAGATCCGATGAACACCCCTCTTTCCCCACTTCTCTCCTCTCCTAAACTTTATAAAAGTTGAAAATATCCTTTGACTTTTTATAGAAAAAAATTGAGAAAAGTGTTCATCTGAGGACTGCATCGGAGGGCACAAGTATTTATTTATGTTAGCTCCAAGCGGACCCGTGGTTCAGAAGTGCATTATTTAGCCCAGACTCCGTAGGTGTAAAGGAGGAGGAGAAAAAAATTTAAAACTCGAAGGGAAAAAAAATGGAATCCCCCCTCCCCCCTTGTAGATTATAAATAAAAAAAACAAACCACCACAGAACTAGAGGTCTTCTCTTTAATGTTACTTTAAAATTGCTATGATTGTATTGTACGTTCTTATTTAATGTCTGATGGAAACGACAAATTTACATGCATGTTTGTTACTAAAAGAAAAAAAACAACTCGCAATTTGTCAGCTCTGGTTTCAGATTGCAATTATTTTTAAGGTGTATACCATTGAAAGAGAATGGGTATTTTTTTGTATGTATTCTGGAAGAAAAAAAAAAGAAAAAACAATTC